CCGAAATATTTATTACTATGGACCAGGTACTGTTATTTATATTTTCCATCTTTCTGTCTAATAACTATATCAGATTGTTTTCGTTATCCTTTTAAATCATGGAAATCATTATTCGCATTCATAGTTGTTAGTTCGATTACTTGTAACTTGCTCGTAAGATGATCTATTACATTGGTTTCTATTATTATTGCTTCTTCTCTGGTTAGTACTCCAATTTGTATTTTAGGTGACAAATGTGAATTGGGTATTTTATTCCCAAATGAAGCTATTTTGAGTTCCTATTCTTCAGCTTCAGTTAATTTCAGCAAATTTGCCAGTTCTTTCGATATGAATGATAATTGTTAATTAATGTCAAAAAATGCTAGAACTTATCCTTGAAGAACAGATATTTCTGGGTTAAAGACCCTTGCATTTTTGCATTAAAGTATAATTTCTTTATTTGCTTTAGGTATGAGTTTTGTTGACAAACCGTTGTCACCTACTTCATTTGCATTTTTTCAATTACGGGGCGTAGTGTATTTGTCTACTATCGGCAAGCTTTTTTGATGTAATTGATGGCATATCAATGTGATTTTTTACAATAAAAGCATTGTAACATAGTTTTACAATCTACTATATTAACCTCTCTTGCCTCTTTCATGCAAATCCCAAAGATTTTTTTTTTCTTTAAACATTCCATTCGTCCTTTGAGTGTTGGATAGAAATATACCATTCACTATCCCAATGATCATTAGTATAAGAAATGCAAGTGCATTCTCGGTCTTCATAAATGATTTGGAAATTCGTCCGGTATGATTTAGTATCAGTTAATTAATGAGGAATTCATTTGTTTTCGTTTAGGATTTGACCCCCTTTTATTTTGACCCCTTTCAATCTTCATTATAGAAAATTGACTTTTCTACCCTTGATTATTTCTACTGATCAATTTTCTGAAGACTCAATTTCATAACCAACCAACTTGGGTCTTCTTCATGTTGTTGATAAACATTTTCTAATATCCCATTTAATAATATACTTTCAATCGCTATCTCTATACTGGAGTGTTCGAGATTCTCTCTATGCATCTCCAGTTGCCGAAGTGCTCTTTCCATAGTCTCAACAGTTGTCATCCACTTTCTATCAACTTCCTTGATAGGGTGGACATCATTGTAAAGGGATTTGATTATTGCAGAACGAATACCATATTTTCCCAGTAATACATTTCTTATTACATCATAATTTCCTGAAGACGATATCATGACCTCTTATCGCTTGCATTGAATAAATGCAAGAATGACCGACCGCCCATAATAGCATGTGTAACTATATGTTTCCAATGTTTTGGTCGGATTTTTATACCTTAGGATGGTCCTAAAGATTTAGCATTTTTGGTACTAAATCTGAAGGAACTTTGGAAATGCAAATTAAGGAATATTGTACGTCAAAAAAACTGTCACTTATTAATTACTTAATTATTACAATATTTAAATCATTCAACGAGCTAATAATTACTATAATCATTTTTCACAGTACCTCATTTCAATCCTTGAGTTATTTGTTACCATAGTTAGCACAAATTATGACAGAGTCGCAGATGACTTTGGTGACGATAATTGTGTCGCATAAATTTTTGATATATTTTTAACATTGATTCAATTCACAATCTATTTAATAACTTGCTACAGAATAAAACATTAAAGTTATTGGAAATTTAAAGTCTGCATAATGACACAAAGACATTTGGAGAAAGTAAAACAATCATCCATAATAATAATAGTAATAAGAATAGGGGCTGTAACCATATCCTCTGTATCCACCGTAGTATGGATAATAAGGATAACCATATTGAGGAAAGGATGGGAAGCCCCCACTTGGCATTTGAGGAAAAGATGAGAAGCCTCCACCTGGCATCTGAGGAAAAGATGGGAAGCCTGTACCAGACGCTTGAGTTAAACCCCTGAGATAAAGTTGAAAAAGCAGTGACAAAGGGTTAACAGTAGTAGTCGGTGGAGGTGAATCAGATCGATCTCCTGTTCGACGGGTCACATTAAAAGTGAATGTCTGTATTCCGTTAGCATTACCGTTCAACGACTAAAATATAAAATAAAGTTATAGTAAGAAAGTTGATGGTTAAATAAACAGTAATGCTTACAATATGTAACATTTTAAGGTTTGAAACTAATAAGGGGAATAAAACTTACATTAGGGCCTGCGAAATTGGTAACGAACGATTGAAGGGTTAGTACAGTTACTTGTGCATTCGTTTCAGTAATTGATAATATTATACTGAAAATGAAAGAAAACATTAGCAGATATATAAAATGAATGAATGATATGATAACAGCAAATACTTTAACTTACATTACTGTCAATGCAATTAAACATTTGGTG